ATATAAATAAATTATTATGCTATTAGTGTTCCTAATCCACAAAATGCCACTCGTCTTTTTTTTTCGCGGGTTTGTGGCAGTTCGGGCAATGGCCAAAAGTCACTTCAGTTGGTGCTGATTCCACCAATGTTTCAAAGTTACTGTCAGTCCACCAGCGAAAACAGAAGTCCGACGTGTTCCCTCCTCCAACAACTGACTCAAATGATTAGCTAATCAGCAAGCTCTAAAGAAGCCTAATAACAACCTGATCATTTGAATCAAGTGTGTTGGAGGAAGGAAACATCTAAAACATGCAGGATAGGGGTGCTGAGGAGCAGAATGAGTGGCCGCTTGTCGAGTACATGACAGATGTAGAATGAACGTTAATGTACACATTTACTAACTGTGAAATCAGTGGCAATGACAGTGACATATGGTAATGCTTGGATTTTTGAGTCACCTACCACGCTACTCGGCAGCGTTGATTCCCAACAAAATACATTTGGGCAAAAAAACAAATATTTATTGATTACAAATATATCTTTGTTCAGCTATGCCAACTATTTATCGTGACAGGGACATATCTTCCAGTAGATGACAAATGTTACAATAAAGCAGCTCCTATATTTTGTTCTTCTACTTCTTCCTTTCATAACTTTGCTGCTGTGAATTGAGAATTTCTCCATTGCGAGACTAATAAAGGATTTCTTATCTTAATGTGTCCACCTCTTGTCGTTCATACCAAAGTCTTCTGCGAATATATCAACTTTGTGTTCACACTGAGTACGTCAGTGTGAAAGTAAATTGAGGGCGAAATCAGACATTTTGGATCGGTGGCGTGCCGTGGCATTTTTAGGAATTGAGTGCCTTGGCTCAATAAAGGTGGGGAAATTCTACTTCAAAGACAAGCAAGACTGAGCAATGAAAATTAAAGCAAGGCTGATTTGATCTTAATATTCAAAGTAGAGGCTGCATAATCGCAGTTCCATACTTGCAAACTAGTGATGACTGGACTAAGCGTTCCAGTATGACGAGCTTTGTACGACCCATTACAAAGAGCACCGTGGATTCCGCCCCGGTTGCCCACTTAAGTGAGGACGTGCACTCACTCATTCGTGTATTTTCTACCTGTCTCGCGGCTGTCAAAGTGCCATCAACATCAAATAGGCAGAGGGTGTTGGAGTCCACAGACATTTCACCCATCGTGGCTCACGGCTTCTTCAGTACTCTTTCCTGTGTGTAAGTGCGTTGCTGCCACCTACCAGACTGGAGTGTGAATGTACGAATGTAAATTTGTGCAGAAGTGGCTCAAACTTCACATTGTTTGCTTGCATTTTCCAGATTCAAAACATATTCTTTCTCTATTACTTTCCAATGGAAGTAGTGTAATTTCTCTATCAGTTTCATGCAGTTGATATTATCTAAACTCGTGTTTATTATTTGGCTTTTGACTCAGCATGAGACTTGATTTTCAGTTTTACTGTTTTTGTGCTTTCTACTCTTTGTTATTAAGTTGTGTTATGGTTTGTTGTTGTATACATTATTTTGCTCGATGTACAGCACTTTGTATACATCGGTGGTTGTTTCAAAGTGCTCTATAAATACAGTTGAGTTGAGCACTTTTAATCCTTCTTCGTCCAGTTGCTTTGATATAACTTTCAATAATACTAATTTGTTCAGTTTTACTATTTCGTCTCACAGATTTCGATCAGCATCCTACACATTCTGAAATTACTTAAAAAAACAAGAAAAAATGCATACTGAGATGGTGGTAGATATGCGCGTGCGCAGTGTTGATTTGCAGCAGCCGAACAGGAAAAAATCGCACAGATATGACGACATCTTAAGTGCAGCCCAGCGAATCGGCGTACCAAAATAGCGGCCATGTTGGCGGGGGCGACATTTCCATCGAAGTCAATGCATTTGCATTGAAATGTAATCGTGTCTTCCTCATTTTCAACAGATTTTTGCGAGGTTTACTTTTTTTGTCAACACCACAATGGCCGCTGTTGATGCAGGACTCTGATCCACTGGTGAAAGGACACTTTGATCCTCTCCTCTTTCATCTATAACTGCTTCAGACAACAAAGTGTATGCAGGAAAGTGGTGAAGATTGCACGACTGTCTTGTGTCCTATGTGTTGTGTTGTGTTATTTTTGTTATTTTGACTTCAAAATGGCGCCGCGAGAGTGGCTGCCTTTCCAGCAGCTCCTATATTTTGTTGTTCTACTTCTTCCTTTCATAACTTTGCTGCTGTGTATTGGGAATTTCTCCATTGCGAGACTAATAAAGGTTTTCTTATCTTATCTTAGGACATCTGAATGTAAGTTTTCTAAGTATGTGTGAAAGGTTATTCCTAATTTTTTTTTTTCGTTATTGTAAGTCTTTAATCGGAACGGTATAAAGCAGACTGTGCTGGCATTGTTCTCTGGTCTCCTTGCCGTCCACACCAAAGAAAAACGCTGATGCATTTGACACTACTATCTTATCCTGGCCGCATGCACGCTTCCTAAAACGGACGTGTCTATCTACTTTATTCATATCTATGGAAATGACGCCAGTTCGCCTACTTCTTCGTTGTACGTCTTGTCGGACAACTAACCATCCTAAATTGTTCACAGCGCCCCGTACTGTTTATCAGCTGGAATCATAGACTTTGTTTTGTAATGTTCTGTTTTGTAAGGTGTGGAAACATGAACGGTTAAAAACTAGGCTGGGAGTCACAATAACGATAAATTTTAGAAAACACTGCTTAATCACTATTAACTAGTCTTCATACACTTATTTGTTACCATTTAATGTCTTTGTGACAGTCTTTGTGGTATGACGACAAAAATAAAATTAATAAGTCTATCAACACTGTAATGGTCTGAATCCCATTCGCAAAAATAAAATTAACAAGTCTATCAACACTGTAATGGTCTGAATCCCATTCGGTATACACATAATTTGTATGTATTTTAACATCAGATTACTGCGGCACTGTCGATTGGCAACAGGTTCATCACATATTTCGTGTACTGCATACTGTATTGTATTATAGTAAACAATGTTGCCTTAATGTTGCACGACAATTACATTGTCAAATCAACAAAAAAAAAAATCGAAACGAAAAGCTCAACAACCGATGAGGAAATATATATATTTTTTAAATTTAGATTAGAACAAAGAACCATTCGCGCCATGTGTTTAAAACCCACGACTGACCAATCGGTATTCAGTCAAGACATATACACTGGCGTTTTCGTCCTTGGTATTTTGTCCAATCAAAAATTGCCTTTCTTCCTCGTCCTTTGGGTTCAAATTGAAACGGTTGTATTTGACCAATCGGCTACTGGTGGGAGGAGTTCTCCAAGTACTTCAAGGCAAGTTAGTGTGGCGTCGCAGACTGTGACAAAACCGCTACGCTTTGTACCGTCTTCAGTCAGACGCAGATTTTCTAAACTGCCAACAGGTAAGCGTTGACGGTTTTCGGCATTGTATGTTGATTGTTTTGTGTTGAATTACGAAAGACCTTTGATTACGGTTATTAGAAGGACACGATGTCTATGTTTTTGTCTCGAGGACTATCTTGTACTAAGCAACGTTTGGGGCTTTAAATATGTTAAGATGCCCGTCATAAATTCAAAGTAAGTGTTTAATGTAAATACTGATCTAGACTTTGTTTTCCATAAGTACGTTTGTTCGTGAGGAGCAAACTGCGCAGGCCTTCTTCGTAAACAACTACAGCTCAAACGCCATTTGGTTAACAGCTTTGCACGATGGCCGCTCGTCCAACTTTCGAAAGTAACTGGCTAGAAGGACCTCGCTTCTTTCGGGCTCTTAACGTTAGTCGTATGTAACGTATGTAAGTTTGTCGCAACACGTCCTGTGGTCGGATATAAGGACTTCCTCAACCACTTTATTAAGTTTTTGCGAAGTTCACTTTAGGCGGGAAGATACAAAATGGAGTCGTGTCTTTTTGTCTCTACGAGGCAGAAAGCCGATTAAGGCCACGAAGCATCTTTCAGAGTCTGTGCCCTGTTTATTGTTTGGTAAGACTGTTCAGTACTAACAAGTTATACTCGTAAGTTCCATTTATTACCAACATAAAGCACCCTCACGATTAATGTTAAATATATGTATTTTATACTTAGTAACTGGGCTTTTATCTCATCTTCCCTTCGAAATTTCAGCGTGTTCCTCAAAGTTTGACTTTTATCCATCCGCAATAGATAAAAGCAGCCATGACTAAGGATCCAAACAAGCCCAGGGGCAAAACCTCATCTTATGCTTTCTTCGTGGCAACCTGCCGTGAGGAGCACAAAAAGAAGCACCCAGGAACCACTGTGGGTTTTGCAGAGTTTTCCAAGAAGTGCTCTGAAAGATGGAAGGTAAATCGCACCAGCCTCATACTATCTAAAAAAAGTGTTTGGTTGCGTATTTTGATTATAAATGTAATGCTACATTTCTCCTGCAACTCGTATCTTAACATTAGTCATTTACTGCAGTGCTTATTTTTCTTGATGCCAAATGTACTAATAGTGTTTGTAAGTAATGCATGTTTAGTGGATTGTTCCCATGCCACATTTTGTGTCTGTGTATAGACCATGTCTGGCAAGGAAAAGCAGAAGTTTGAGGAGATGGCCAAGAATGACAAGGTCCGGTATGACAGAGAGATGAAGACTTACGTTCCTCCGAAAGGTGCTAAAAAGGGGAAGAAGAAGAAGGACCCTAACGCCCCCAAAAGGCCCCCGTGAGTTAAATAAATAAATAAAAATGATTATGTGTATGTGAATTAATAGGATCTCCTTTTCTCTAGCTCTGCTTTCTTTGTCTTCTGCTCGGATCACCGACCCAAGATCAAGGAAGAGAACCCTGGTATCTCAATTGGTGACATTGCCAAGAAGCTCGGAGAGTTGTGGTCTAAGCAGAGTGCTAAAGACAAGGCTCCGTATGAGGCCAAAGCTGCCAAATTGAAGGAGAAATATGAAAAGGTGATGACACTTCACTAGCTTTGTATTTCAGCACATTTGAACAATGTATCGCCAAAACGTAACATTTCACCTAAACTTATCATTCGTAGGATGTCGCTGCTTACAGAGCGACAGGCGGCTCAGGGAAAACTGACGCTGGCAAGAAAAGTGGCCCGGGTAGGCCCAAGAAAGCTCAACCGGTGGATGACGATGACGATGATGATGACGACGAAGAGGATGAAGACGAGGAGGACGAGGACGATGATGACGACGAAGAGGATTAAGCAAGCGGTTATGCATGTGACGTTTGCAATGCATTAAGCTAAAATCTTTCGTCGTGTGGGTGTTCAAACCGTATAGCCTGCTGTCCCTGTTGATCAACTTCTTCGGGTGATCAGACCTGTTTATTCCTTGTCAAATTCAGGGATTTAGTTTGTTTTTTTCTCAATTAGCCCCCTTATTTCTTTATATCCTTGTTGCTATATTCAAAGGGTCAGCTCTAGGTTTGTTGTACCATATTGAAAGACTGTCCTACAGTCACTGGACAGCAATGTATCAGCAAGGTTTGAAAGAAATGTTTTGCTTTTCAAAGCACTGCTTAGGTTTGTGTTTAGTGGTGCTGTTCATTCACTGTCATTTTACTCAGACTTCTAGTTTGACTTAAAAAAAGCAGCCATTTTAATGTTAAAACCTTCATGTAGAACTGAATTTTTTTTTGTAATAAAATTTTGTATATTGGTTATAGTTATGTGATCTGTTATTTCTCCACTGCTTTATGTGATGTAATTCTCAAAACTTGCTGTGAACACTCACTCCTGAGGCATGTTTAAATTGCTTTCGGTTTACCTTTGCAAAAGAAGATTAATGAGCTGGCCGAGTTGTACATAAACTGTTCAAGGCAAATATTAAAAGTGTTGTTTTGGACTTAGTGTCCATTACTTCTGTGATTGCCAATTTGTAGTGTTGGAGGCATGGTGTGTTGTGGGGAAATTGTACAATGTCACTCAATTGGGTCATGAATGATTACTAGTGTGTCATCTATATTACAGTATATTTTTTTTTTTTAATATCCCTCTTCTTCCCTAGAGCCTTTTGAGGTCAATCTAGTGGTGCAACCCCACGCAAATTTTCTGTTACAAAGTCAGTATTTTATTTTTACCTCTGCAGTAGCCTGTTGGATCGCTTCGGTTTAGTGGAAGTCACTGGAGTTTTGTCACTGACAAGAAGGTGCACTAACCTATGAATCCACTTTTCAAATTCATGCAACAGAGCAGCTTTTCTTTGAACAAGGGCCAACTAAGTGATATGATCTCACTGTGTACGTTTGTGAGTGGATGTAGGGTGGGCTAATCTTGCCACTATTTTAATTAAAATTGTTAAAATTGATTATCAAACTACTGAATTAACACTCCAAAAAACTTGAGATGTGTGACAATGTCATCACAAATTTGAATGTGCATATTGCATCTATAATCCACAGAAGAGGAGCGTGGATTGAAAATGTCATCTATGTTATCTACATTTGTGTGTGTGTGTATGTGTGTGTGTATACAGGTCCTTCTAAAAAAAATAGCATATTGTGATAAAGTTCATTATTTTCCGTAATGTACTGATAAACATTAGGCTTTCATATATTTTAGATTCATTACACACAACTGAAGCAGTTCAAGCCATTTATTGTTTTGATACTGATTTTGGCAAAAAAGAAAAAGCGAAAATCCCTAATTTGCATATTTCATCCGGCCAATAAAAAAGTGTTTTAAAAACAACCCAAAAAAAGTTAACCGTCAATTATGTTCAGTTATGCACTCAATACTTCAGGAACCCTTTTGCAGAAATGACTGCTTCAATGCGGTGTGGCATGGAGGCAGTCAAATCAGCCTGTGGCACTGCTGAGGTGTTGAGGCCCAGGATGCTTTGATAGCGGCCTTAAGATCATCCACAGTGTCGGGTCTGGTGTCTCTCAACTTCCTCTTCACTGTATACCACAGACTCTCTTTGGGGTTCAGGTCAGGAGGGTTGGCATGCCAATTGAGCACAGTAATACCATGGTCAGTAAACCATTTACCAGTGGTTTTGGCACTGTGAGCAGGTGCCAGGTCGTGCTGAAAACTGACATCTTCATCTCAATAAAGCTTTTCAGCAGATGGAAGCATGAAGTGCTCCAAAATCTCCTGGTAGCTAGCTGCATTGACCGCACCCTTGATAAAACACAGTGAACCAACACCAGGAGCTGACATTGCACCCCTGACCATCACTGACTGTGGGTACTTGACACTAGACTTTAGGCATTATGGCAATTCCTTCTCCCCACTCTTCCTCCAGGCTCTGGCACCTTGATTTCCGAATGATTTGCTTTCATCCGAAAAAAGTACTTTGGACCACTGAGCAACAGAGCTTCTCTGTAGCCCAGGTCAGCCGCTTCTGCCGCTGTTTCTGGTTCAAAAGTGTCTTGACCCATTTCCTGCACATGCCTGTGCACGGCGGTTCTGGATGCTTCTGCTCCACTCAGTCCACTGCTTCCACAGGTCCCCCAAGTTCGGCCCTTCTCTACAATCTTCTTCAGGGTCCAATCACCTCTTCTGGTTGTGCAGCGTTTTCTGCCACACTTTTTCCTTCCCACAGAGGTGCCTTGATACAGCACTCTGAGAACAGCCTGTTCACTCAGAGATTTCTTTCTGTGTCTTACCCTCTTGTTTGAGGGTGTCAATGGTGGCCTTCTAGACCGCAGTCAGGTCAGCAGTCTTACCCATGATTGCGGTTTTGAATCATGAACCAGGCTGGGAGTTTTTAAAAGCCTCACGAATGATTTGCGGGTGTTTAGAGTTAATTCGTTGATTCAGATGATTAGGTTAATAGCTCCTTTAGAGTACCTTTTCATGATATGCAAATTTTTTGAGATAGGAATTTTGGGTTTTTATGAGACACTACATAGGGCGGCCCGGTAGTCCAGTGGTTAGCACGTCAACTTCACAGTGCAGAGGTACCGGGTTCGATTCCAGCTCCGGCCTCCCAGTGTGGAGTTTGCATGTTCTCCCCGGGCCTGCGTGGGTTTTCTCGGGGTACTCCGGTTTCCTCCCACATTCCAAAAACATGCTTGATCACTCTAAAATCGTCCCTAGGTGTGAGTGAGGGCGTGCATGGTTGTTCGTCTCTGTGTGCCCTGCGATTGGCTGGCAACCGATTCGGGGTGTCCCCCGCCTATTGCCCGAAGACAGCTGGGGTAGGCTCCAGCTCCCCCGCGACCCTAGTGAGGATAAAGCGGTTCGAAAGATGAATGAATGTATATACATATATATGTATATATATGTATATATACATATATATACATGGCAACAAGGAAAGCGGCTACGGCCAAATACCTCCAGCGAGTGAGGCAAGTCCTAAGAAGCCAGCTCAATGGCAAGAATAAATAAAGCCTCCGCCTTTTTAAAGGACCAAAAGTAATTGGACAAACTCACATAATCAAAGAACAGAGTGTCACTTTTAAATACTTGGTTGCAAATCGTTTGCAATCAAGGACAGCCTGAAGTTTCAAATCCACAGTCATCACCAGCCACTGGGTTTTGTCTCTGGTGATGCTATGTCAGGCTGCTAATGCAGCTGTCTTCAATTCCTGCTTGTTGTTTGGGCATTTTCCTTTTAGTTTTGTCCTGAACAAGAGAAATTCAGGTCAGTTCATTGACATGGCCATCGCAAAACATTTTACTTTGGTTTCTTTTGCAGTCTGCTTTGGGTCATTGTCCATTTGCATTGTGAATGATTTTTGAAACATTTGGCTGGATATGAGCAGATAATGGGTTAACACCTTGTGGTGAATCCTTTGAATTTCCTGTGGTGAAGTTGTCTTTTAATTGTTCGTTGGACACAGATAAACCCACCCCTAGGAGAGTGTTCTTGATCTGGCCAACAACTGCGAAGAACTTTTTTCTTGACAAGGGAAAAGATTTGTCTGTCATTCACCACACTTGTTTTCCATGGTCTTCCAGATTATGTTGGTGTTGCTGAGCTCAGCGGTTCCCTCTCTATTATTAATGTGTACCAAATAGTTGATTTGGCCACATAATGTTTTATCTACTTTTCTGATCAGATTGTTTTGATGTTTCAGCCTCATGATGGCTTGCGTCACTGAGAGTTACAGCTCTTTGGACTTCATGTTGAGAGGTGACCATACTCGATTCAGAATGAAGATTACACACTTGAAAACGAACTCTAGGCCTTTTATCAGCTCCTTGTAAGTGAAATAATAAGGAAATGACCCATACCTGGCCGCCGAACAGCTGAGGAGCCAATAGTCCAATTACTTTTTTGGTCTTAAAAATGTGTTGGAATTCCCACAACTTTCACTTGATTTGGACATAAATACTGTAACATGAAATTAAAGATCAAAGTTTGCACCGAAAGCAGCCTTGTTTTTTTTCTCCGCAAATGCAATATTAACCAGACTTTTAAAGAGTTTTGACAAGTGGAGTGGCATTGAACGTATTACATTCTGACTTGACTTCTCCTTTTATGTTGTGATACAGATATGAAGACATTGTTCCAAAACATTTTATTCCTCTTGGAACTTGAAAGTGAGCCATACATTGATTGGCGCAGTCCGTAAACCACCTCATACGGTAAAGCGTCGAATCACTTCCACGTACTCCGGCATCAAGCTTGAGCAGTGACAGATGTATGTGCATGACTGGCAGTAAAGATGACCAATAACCGATGAAATCGAGCTCTCCAACTGCCCAATCGCTGCCGCCACCGAGGCCTATTTCACCAGACCCACCGGGAGGGAGTCCAGCCTCTGTATCAAGGAGCTGTCCGTCGGGCTCCACCAGTCAACAACCAACGGTAAGCAGACGACCACAGAACAAACGATTTAGCACCATCCCTGTTCGCGCTGGAATGTCAAGTAGCAGCGGTGGCATACCAACACACATCCAAAAACCAACAAAGGGCGAATGTGACATCAGCATGCCTCTGAAGTAGACGAGGGCGATCTGCGACGTGAACGTCGAAGTAGACACTTTCCTTGGGTATTAGTTAGCTGTGCTGAAACCTGTTGATGTCATCTCTTACGCTCTTAAAGAACGACAAGCAACGCGCCTCCAAAATGAGTCTCTTTAACAATTTGGGCCAGAGGTAGCTAACACCATTTTAGCTTGTTAGTTATACTGTACACTGGTTATTCTGTTCAATGATGCTAATATATCACATGCACAAATGGAAACATTTCTGCGTTATAATCGAGATAATCCGCATCAAGTGATCATGCTTTGCAAGTACAAAACGAACATGTCTCTGCGTCATTGAATTACTAATACCTCGAAGGTAGAGAGACGCGCCAGATCAGTACCAATCCGCTTCGTATTTTCCCCTTAGAAACGCAGACACTTGTCATCTTTACCGATAAGTAATGGCAAATAAGAATCAAAACAACAGCGGACAAAGAGGCCTGCACGTGTCAGGTGCATATACTGTGTCTTAACAAGTAGCATAACACCGTCTTTCCATCAGCGCTCATAATTAAACCGCGGGGAACTCAAAATAGACATTATACAGGCATTTGACAAACGTGCTGCAGCGGGCTTTTCAGTTTTGAGATGTGGACGTCTTCGTGCTTTTTGCAGTCATTGGTTCTTCTCATTGGCTTGTCGCACAACTATGGCACCCGGTGTTTGTTAGTATGACTGCTACCCATCAACCCAGGCGCTGTTCTTTACACCGTCAGATGTTACGTGTTGCAATCTCTCGTGCGATGCTGCCACCGTTAATTATTACAATAATGTGCAATTCCAGGTTGGGAGAAAACGTGAGCAATCGACTATGACTAAACAACATTGAAACACAGAAATGCAGACTGTTGCTGTCCGGGGTGCTGAAAATCGATAATGAAACAAACGTGTGGGCTCAGGAAGCACCCCGCAGAAGTCCATTTCAGCTATGTATGTTCTAAAAAAATA